TATATAGGCTACTTACCATCATCCTGTTTGTATATATACTAAATGGGCTAGTAAGCATACCTCATAGGACCAAAAATGATTAATTTTTATGTTAATGAATAATATTGTGGCTGATTTCATTGTCTAATGGTTTATTTCAGCATAAAGCCATTTGTTCAGCAGGCCTACCCTATACAGCCAACTGTCACAACTCCCATTTCAGGTAACTTATTTACTTGTTTTTCTTGGAATATTATTCAAACTTGGAGCAGGTCACACTCTTTACGCGTGTATACAAATGGACAGGATAGTCCTTTTCTCACTTGCTGAGTTTGAATGTAAATGTGGGTTCGTGCATGCAATTATTGGCACACCCATCACAGGTTGTGGGACTTGCATGTGGGTCATGTAACCGTACTCCCCACTTCTTTTATGTATTCCAAAATTCCTAAGTGTAGGGGCACCACTGAGAATGTGGCAAATAACTCTGGAGCTTGTAAAGCTAAAAGTATACGTACTTGCCGTACTGACAAGAAATCCAGCAAAATTAAAACATCCGATTGTTCAGATCTCATAATTGGTTTCATAAACATTGATCTCTCCCTTGTCTTTACAGATATAGGTGCCAATGGATTCAGTGGGTCCCTCATACTGAGTTAATATTGGATGCCACCCTAGATCTTGGCCTAATTGAGTTTTTTTTCTATTTTATTTATATCCCACCTATCTGGTTGGATCAGGACCACTCTAGGCGGCTAACATAAAATAGTACAATAAATATATATATAAAACAATTTTTACATAGCAAAAGCATTAAACAAGATGGAAAAAACAATAGAAGAGGGAAGAAAAGGGTGTCAGGAATTATCTAATGGGAAGGCCTGCCGAAACATCCATGTTTTTAATTGATTCTTAAAAATACCCAGCGAGGGAGCCACGCGAATCTCAGGAGGTAGGTTGTTCCAGAGGTGAGGAGCCACCGCCGAGAAGGCCCGATTTCTTGTCTTTTCCTTCCGGGCCTCCCTCAGCGTTAGGCTCCTCAGCCTCACCTCCTGGCTCGCACGAGTGACACGGGTAGATTGTTATAAAAATATTACACAGACGTCTCATACCATAGTTCTCAGCGATTAGCATGAACTTAAACGCCTTTGCTTTAGTAACAATTAACGTAGGATATGTTGGTGTCTCATTTTTTTTCACATACCGGAGCTAGTTGCAGTCTTCTATAACAAAGAAACTGCCGAATTCACAAAGATGCTGGTTTGTACTTCAGGGTTTGAGCCTGCCTCAGCTCCGGCACCCTCAGTTCCTGCTTGGCAAGGTCGATCTATTGGAACAACTAAACTTAGATTGGTGGAATTTTCAGCTTTTCTTGAACAACAAAGAGACCCAGATTCTGTGAGTACTACTCCAAAATACATCTTTTAAATGCCTTACATAGATGTCGTTGTGTTTCTTTTCCTTTATACTTCGTGATCACATTCTTTTTCACCTCGTCCGCTTCATGCTTATGCTTGTACTATAGATTCCCTCTGTCTTGTTTAGGTTTTGCTTTCTGAAGAATACATTTTGCTTGAAAAGAATGATTAAGAATATACTTCAGCATTTTCCAAGAATACCATGCCTTCAGGGTGGTCCATTAGAAGTGTTAACGGTGAAAACAAGTTTCCTTGCTGTTCTCAACAGGGTTGTACCTGTACAAATGCTTAATCTGAAATTAGTGTAATCATATTCCTTTGTTACTTGTCAATCCAAAGACCATAACTTCACGTAACATAATGCTGAATATAATAATTTAGCATAGTGGTCTTCAGGGACTGTGTGGAAGAGAACACAGAGAAGTATAAAGAGGCAAAAATAGAGAGCAGGTTGTACAGAGCTGAAACTTACCTTGGGAAATGTACTTACTTGCATTTTCCACTATGAGAGGATTATGACGCCTATAGTGCAGGCCAGTACAGCCAGTGTTCAGGGATTATTGGAGTTTCACCCAGAAAATCAGGGGAGCATTGCAGTTTCAGAGGCACCTATGCATTCTGTCCCATGGTAGAGCCTGGTCCCATTTCAGCTCTTTCAAAAACTTTCCACCCATTATGTACTTATTATTGTTGCCTTTTCTGTTTACCTCCAAATACCTGGAACATGCCATACACACTAGCTGCTTCAACAACAATATTCAGCGCCTGCATTGACTGTTCATCATCTGGCTACTGCTCCCCTGAAATATCTCTTGCTATAATCATGAGCCGTATATCTCACTGGCAAATTCAAGGCCTTTGCTTTGTACCTGCCCTCCTTGACATTTCTGCTTATGGCTGGGTGAATCTGTTTTTAGTTTTTGTTTTTGTTTTGTTTTTTTCATGTCTTGTGGTTCTATGACTGTTCCTCGCTGGTTCCTCTCCTATCTATCTCTGCCTTCCTCCATCTGTTAGGGTCCAAGACTAGTTTTGAGTCCTGTGCTATGCTTCCTGCCCTCTTCCACCTTCATGATGTCCCTCACTGAAAAGGGAAGAAAGGAAGGTTTCTGTGATAGCTTAATTCACCTGGCATACATCTTATCATTCTGTCTGGGGCTTGCAGCTTCAAGCAAATACTGTAACAGCTTCATAGTCCCATTCCTGTATGTATGTATGTATGTATGTATGTATGTATGTATGTATGTATGGATGGATGGATGGATGGATGGATGGATGGATGGATGGATGGATGGATGGATGGATGGATGGATGGATGGATGGATGGATGGATGGATGGATGGATGGATTAATGAATTAATGAATTAATGTTTTTGTTATTTCTATGCTGCTTTTCTCCCAGCTGAGGAGACTCAAGGCAGCTCACAAATAAATAAATAAAACTTGAACTAAAAAAACACTGAATTACAAGTTTAAAAAAGAATTAAACGTATAACAGGTATTAAAATCTAAAGATTTAAAAAGCTTTTAAAACATGCTTAAAGAATCACTGCTTATTTACATTCCGATCCCACTTTGTATCCTCATCTTCTTCTTCGTGGTCTCTGTAAATTCACACCAATGGGTTAAGTTGTGTCTGCGCAGAGCACCCTTGGAATAGAGCTCAAGCAAATGCGGCCGAGACCTCCCACATGCTACCTGTAACTTTGCCCCGGCACCGAGTGCCTCAGTTCCATTTCTGCCACTGTTGCTGCAGCTTCTCGGTTTCAGAGCTCCCACATTTGCGTTTCTTTCAAAATCCTAATACTTACTTGGACCTCCCAGTATCTTCGACTTTGGAATGTTGTACCTGCCCTTTGGATCTGTGACTTGGACAAAAGCATAAAACTGTGTTGATTATCATTCTTTCAATTAAACGAGTTTGTTTATGGCTGCTCTAGGTAAAGGTAAAGGTTCCCCTTGACAATTTTTGTCCAGTCATGTTCGACTCTAGGGGGCAGTGCTCCTTCCCTTTTCCAAGCCATAGAGCCAGCGTTTTGTCCGAAGACAAGCTTCCATGGTCACATGGCCAGTGCGACTTAGACACGAAACGCTGTTACCTTCCCACCAAGGTGGTCCCTATTGATCTACTTGCATTTGCATGCTTTCGAACCGCTAGGTTGGCAGGAGCTGGAACAAGTGACGGGAGCGCACTCCGTCACGTGCATTCGATCTTACGACTGCTGGTCTTCTGACCCTGCAGCACAGGCTTCTGCAGTTTAGCCTGCAGCGCCACCACGTCCTACATGGCTGCTTTGGGCCCCTTCAAACGCTGTTCTACCTGCCCAAATAAAATTACTGTATCAGACAGCCATTTCCAGTGCTTGCTTTACCTGGGAGAAGAGCACCAGCCCGCCTTGTGTGCCGTGTGTAAGAGCTTCACCAAACCAGCTCTTTAGCTAAGGCTGCAGCGCCTTCACTCTTTCCTGTGGGAGAAGCCTGTGTGCCCAGCTCGGACTCTTCATGAGGACTCTCCACAGGCACATCCCGCTGAAGTTGCCCCGATTGCCGGCCGTTCACCCAAAGTCACGAAGAAGGCGGCAAAGGTGTCGGGCTCAAGGTAATCTTCCTCGGCATCGAAGCCATCTCCGAAGAAGAAAAAGCAGAAGACCAGGCACTTGGAGCCTGCGGCCGAGCCCAAGGCTTATCGACATCAACAGCTTCCCCCAGAGGTCATCGTTTAGTCGTGTCCGACTCTTCATGACCCCATGGGTCTCCTATTGGGGTTATCCAAGGTCTCGCTGGAATGACTATCTGGATTACTACAAAAAGCCTGGAGGCTTCGACCCTAAAATGCATCGATACCTGGTGCCTTACGAGCCTGAATTTTACCACCATGGCTCTGTTACTATGGGCAGTATTCACCTTCAACTCTAAAATGCATCGATGCCTGGTGCCTTACGAGCCTGAGTGGTAAACACCATAGCTCTGTTACTATGGGCAGTATTCACCTTCTCCCTCGCCTTCCCCCCCACCCCCGATACCGAAGTTATCTGAAGGCCTACCGTTACCCAGAAGATGATTTCATGCCGGAACTGCCACCACAGAGAGTGGCTAAGCAGACAGCCCGGGATGACTTCTTGCCACCTGTCCACCCATTAGCCTTGACTGGACCCGGTCCCCGCTCTTCCAACTTCACTGGAGTTGACTCCAACAGGGCCTGAAAGAGAAAGTAGAGTGGGTCAAGGCTTCTATCCCAACCCATACCGACTGGATTGGGCTCAAGACGTCTTCTCCCCATCTCCAGACCAGGCTGAGGATTTCGAATGCAGCTCAGAGGTCTCAGACGTTGGCGTCGAGAAGGACTCTCTGCCCAATGTACCCACTCCAGATTCGGATGTGGTCGAGAGTCACCAACCCTCTCCCTCTGATGATTATTTTGCGCATTCACACCTGATCCACAGGATTTCAAAGGTGATGGACTTGGCGATAGCCCAGCTTGCGATGGAGGAGGTGGATAAGGTCTATGAGGACATCGCTCAAGACCAGACTCCTCCTCTCTGCCTCACCTTCATCTCCTCACTCCTGAAGCTCATTAAGGAGTCCTGGAACAAACCCTCTACATCACATCAGATTCCTAGGAGGGTAGAGAACCTGTGTAAGGCACACCATGACAGCACAAACTTTCTGTCCAAACATCCCCTGCCCAATTCCTTCATGGTAGATGCCACACAAAACAGGGCCAGGAACCGGTCAACGTCTATGCCCAATAACAAGGAGGGTAGAAAGCTAGACATCCTTGGTTGTCGAGTCTACTCATTGACTTTGTTTATCCTCAGGGTGGCAAATTATTCGGCGGAGATGGGCGCTTACCATCGCCACTTATGAAACAAAACCTCAACAGTTTTGCAAGCTGCCTCAGAGAAGCTCAGGACTTTGGGCCTTGCATGCCACCAAGAGGCCCTGGCCCTGGCAAGGCAGGATAGCTGCTAGACACATAGTAGATGCACGCATGCCACCAAGAGGCCATGGCCCTGGCAAGGCAGGAGAGGATAGCTGCTAGACACATAGTAGATGCAGCATCCAAGTAAATTACCACAGCGGTGACTCTCCACTATCATGATGGCTGTGCTTGGCCGTAATTTTGGAAGATGCAAGGTCCAGGATTGAGGACCTATCCTTTGGCAGGGTAGGCCTCTTTGATGACAATACCGACGAGATCCTGGACAACTTGCTCAAACGGTGGAAGATGGCTAAATCCTATGCCAGCCAGCAGAGTTGCCCTAGGAACACTTGGCACCGTTCTTATCTTTACCAGCCTTATCCAGACCACCAAAGGCTGCAAACCTCTGATTTTTGTTCAGTTCCATGTCGTCAGCAGGCTGGCAGGCAGGGGCCTCGCCAACACACTCGCCGCTCAGACAGGGCTTTTAACTCCTTTGGCTCACCAGCAACAGTCATCACCCCTGTTCGTTTGGCCCTCTTTCTTCCCACCTGACAGTCTGATACATGGGTACTCACCATCATAGCCAAGGGCTAGGCTATCAAGTTTGACTCCCCACCTTCCATAGGGCTGTTCAGGGACACTCCCCCCTGTTGGAAAGTGAGGTAGCCTCCCTACTTCAGAAGGATGCCATTGTTCTGGTTCACAGCCCTGAACTCACACTCACCTTTTTCCCCCACTACTTCACTATCCTGAAGAAGGACGGTGGACTCCGTCCCATCTTGGACCTCCAACCCTTGAATTCCTATATCACTCCCTGATGTTTTCATATGGTCTCCCTTGATGGCACCATCCAGATTTTAAGACATGGGTACTGGTTTTTGGTCATAGACCTCAAGGATGCCTATTTCCATATCAGCATCCGCCCTGAGCGTCATTGTTATTTTGGGATCTCCCTCAAGAGTGTGGTCTACGAATTCAAGGCCCTCCCATTTGGACTGTCCAGTGCCCTACAGGTGTTCACGAAGTGTTTATCCCCGGTGGCGGCATATCTGCGTTTG